AAGAAGAAGCAATAATAAAAAATTACCTATGAGTACTGAGAAAGATGGTATTCGGCCTTTTTATAAGCTGTGCGTAGATTCATCATAATTAAAAATTTTCAGAATTTCTCTGGAGTCAGAGAACTTCATTTTGAGAAAAGTGAAGTGAGCGGCAGTCAGGAGTCGACAGATTCGACTTTCAAATCCATGCGGAGAATAGGATTTCTCAAAGATGTAGATGCGTTAATAAGAGGCAGGTATTTTGAAAATTTTGAAACCTTTTAAGATGAGCTACGCAAGCACTAACCCAAGCTGGTACGACATATGTAAAGATAGGATATATAAATGTTTTACATGGTAGAAGTTTAGAGTTGACTGCTGAGAATTTCATCATAATAAAGCAGTTTGGCTCATGACAGCCGCATTTACTTTAATTCCCAAATACTTTACTGAAGGTGACTATTTGATGATTTTGCAAAAATACCTTACTTGGTGTTAACTGGACATCGAAATTTATGTTTGATAAAAAGCAGAGAGTAATATTTGTCTGGGTTAATTTTAAATCATCACATATTACAGCATTCTTCAATTCCATCAAGACTTTTCTGTCATCTTGTAAACGCATAGTTAACTTTGATTGATTTTATAAATAAGTATGTTCTGCATAAATTGCTTCTTTATAATTTGTGAAAGGTAAGTCATTGATGAAAATATTAAATAGGAATGGAGTAAGGAGTGATCACTGTGAGACTCCCGAATGAATCGATTTCATATGTGAGAGAAATGCTACCAACATTTTCTTTAAAGTTTCTCATACTTAAGTAATTTGCAATCACAGAAAGAATAAGGATGTCAAATGTTATAGAAGGTCTTTTCTAAGTCCAGAAAACTCACCATAATAGCTTTTTTATTGTTCATACCTTCAGAGGTTGTGCCAACTACCTACAAAATTTGTAGTATTTAAATGACCTGGTTAGAAACCAAACTACTAAGGTGTGATGATTTAATGTTTATTAATAAAGCTATAGATTTTTTTGAGAATAACTTTCTCAAATAATTTTCCAACAGTAGAGAGCAGACTGATGGGCCTGTAACTTCTGGGACTGATTGGGTCTTTCCCAAGTTTCTTGAATACAGTGATGACTGAGGTTTTCCAGCAATCTGCACAATAAACTTTACTACGGCATGCGTTGAAAAGATTGCACAAAATCACAATGGCCTTCCGTAAAAAAAGCTCTTATTAAAAAACGAAATTAAAAAAAGCTCTCGAAATGTCTCAATTATAAGCTAAACAGGGATTTAATTCTTTAATTATGACTTAAGTTCAGTCGGTGAGCTTTCGAAATAAGGGACCTTAGAAATCTCCTAATCAGTATAGTCATATTTTCGGCAGATTCGACGAAAATCAGTAATAAGTTGATTTTCTAAGCTACCTGGAATGTCATTTGCCATTTTTCCTTGAGTATACACAAGTCTACAATTTCCGGTGATAGGTCTAATGGGATCACACTTGTTTTTAATTTTTTGGAAATTCTCCAGATGGACTTTTTTTTTAATGTATAGTGAGCTAAAGCATTTTTGCCACTGGTTTCTGTCTATGCTGCATGCTATTTTCTTTTATGGTTCTTTCTCGATTTTGAAGTCGGATGTTATGTGCCACTGCTTTCTAAGGTGATTCTTACTTTTGATGAAGTTAAATATGTCTCAGAATAGTGTTAGATTTTTGCTATTGGCATGACGAAGGAAGCACGTTTAATGCAGCTTAGAACAGGCTTAATCTATGGACATGAAACCGAAAGTTATATCTCTGTAGTGTAACAAAATTCCGTTTGTTTGATTAAAAGTCTACCAATGATAAGCTCTCATAATATTTTATGAGATTGTCCAAGCTTTATGCAAATGAAAAAACTAATCACTGTTCACAAGTCACTTCCAAAAAAGATTAATATTCTTTGCAAACAAACCCATTTATAGGTTACGATACACTCAATGCTAGAAAATCGCTTTCACGTGATATTTAAAAATACATTTTGTTATCAATAGATTAACTCTGACATTTAAGTGTTAACATTGTTTGCCACAAAATTTTGATAGCCAGTTTTTGAGAACTGAGCAATTTTTTACCCATAATTTTAATTGTTTTCGAAGTATTATTATATTTGTTTTCAGCTGGACATTGACGACTTGATTAGGTTTATATAAAACTATACAAAATGGATGACATTAGATGAAAAATAAGAATGATTCTTTACCTCTTGAATAAAATGAAAAAAAGAAATATATAGAGAGGAGTGCATTCTATATGTAATCTATGCTATTGCAAAGTTTACTATTATCATCACATTTTATTGTAGAGGCAAGTAATAGCGTGTACAAGAATTAGATATTTTGGAAACGATATATTATATAATATTATAAATATATTTTATTTATTACACTATTGGTATAAAGTAAACTTGTTGCAAAATACAATTAAAAAGTACAAGATAAAACTACAAGCCCACTAGCCACCACTGAACACTGACAGCCTGACCCAGGTTTCACATTATGACACACAAATGACAAAAGAACATGAAGAAAAAAAACAAAAGGACATGATGTGGAAACACAATGGATCTTTCCAATTCTACGGATTCAGAACTCAGAAAACTGCAGGGAAGATTTTGGGCACCCTTTTTTGGAATGAATATTATTCTCTGCTTATTAAAAAATCCACTACATAGCGATGTTTATTATAGGAATATTTTCTTTTAACTGCGAAAAATCATGGCAACTTTAGCAGAAAATATTGCTTTTCCTGGGCTTCACGGAAGGCTAAGATTTCCCACAGTGCTATTCAGCAGTGCTGATTCTAACTTCTTCCGCATCCATCTTATTCACCAGATCTGGCTCTTAACATTTTTTTTTTCCTTTCAAAACGTAACCTCATTTGCGAAGTTCCCATTATTACGAAAATGATTATTTAAAAGATAAAGAAGAAGGAATGAAGACCTGATGCGTTTTTTTCACTTGGAATCCAACCGGAAGGGGTCGTTAAGTGCGTGAATTCCAAAGGAAATTACACAAAAAACCGAGAAAATAAATTTAGACATTTATCTTATACTAACGGTATTTGACTTAAAATTATTGAAACTTCTCCTTCCTTATAAACCGATACTTTTTCATCTTGAATACCAAGTGATAAATTTTACTAAAATTATTCTTCCATAAAATTTTATCCAATTACATATCCATTAGATAATCGTTCAGAACTGCTTAATTTAATCAATATTTTACTACATCCACTTCACTAAAGGTACGAAAGAAAAATGTTACAAAGTTTACATATGATAACGCTACAAAGTTTATAATTATTTTTCTATAAATTTTTCTATTTTATTAATTTTAAGTCTCTTAAATTCTTGCAAGGCGTTTGTAACCTACTCCGGATTTTTGACTACATTAGTCTTGTATTTAAATTAGTACTCATTTTTATGAGAAAAAAATCTGCTAACGGTGTTAAAAACGGTCCTAGCGGAATTTTTCCAAAATTTTTGAGACATTACATTACATTACGTTACTTTATCATGTATTTTTCACACTCTTGGCGCGTATTACCACTGTACGAATTATAAGGTGTTTTTCTTGGATGCGCTTTGCGTATGATCCAGTTTTTAAAATGTTGCCATTTGTGGAAACATAAGATCCTGATTTTTATTTTGAATTTAATCGATTTTTAATTACTTAACAATCTAAGTGATTTAAAAGCAATGAACGCATTCCTTAAAGTATTTTTTTCCTATTTTCTTTTTTTAATAATCTATATAATTGATATAAATTAAAATACATCCTTATAATTGATAAAACATGTTTTTCTAATGTCATGTGTTAGGAACCTGATACACAATATTTTTGTTTTAACTCTTATTAAATTATATTATTTCATTCCAAATTATTACTCAAATAGTTAGTTACCGTTTGTATTCATGCAGATATTTATAACTCAAGGACAGTACATCACAAAGCACGAAATACACTTTTGTAGTTTGGATCATATTCGCTTGAAATTTAAAGGTCACAATAATATTAAACACTTTCAGTTAAGGAAAGAAAACAGAGAAATTTTCTTTTGTTTTTAAGAAAAGAAAACAGATAATTTTTCTTTTCTTAGAATAAGAGAAGAATGCATTTCGCAGACATTTCGTTTTTTAATAAGTTGAATATTTAAGGAAATTTCGCTGTCGGCATTATTTTGTTAACCACATTTTTTTGCTTCTCGTTCTAAGCTTAATTTTTGTTAATTATTAGAATTGTTGCATAATTATACAGTAACATCTGAACATTCAGATTATTACACTGAGTAAAATGTTTTTTGAAAAGAATTTTATTATATATATATTTTTTTCTGTTGATTATATTGCTTATCTCAATCCGAATTTATCGTAGTGCTTTTCTAAGCCACCCCCCGTTAGTCAGATATCTAGTTCATAGATTTAAATCTTGTAATACTTCCCATTCTTTCACGAATGGCACACTAAAATTAAGATTATTAACAACTGAACAACAAGCTATATGAATATTACAGTCAAGTGCACTAGAAGAGCACGTCGCTTATTTTAAATCTAAAATTAAAAAATATTATATCTTGAAATAATGCAATTAAAAAACTATATCTTATTAAACATTTATCGTAAGAATCGTAGTTAGGCCGAAAATAAGGCCTCTATTTAAACAGTAATAAAAATTCACAGTGTACAAAAAGAATGTTTGAGGAATTTAAAAATGCTTTCAGATTAACACAGAGATGTTAACAGAAAGATAGAAATACCCTTATAATCTAAATGCAACTTTTACGCGCAGTAAAACAAATTCAAGCGATAGTAAGTCATGTGAATTGTGATATTCACTTTCTGGGAGGAGCTAAAAGCGAATTCACAATATCTCGTGTTATAAATATTACACATAACTGGAAAACTTCCCTTTCCCTATCCCCCCAAAAAATCACAAATATCCTTCTCCGTAACAATAAGTGTGGCTCTTACCTCTTATCGAATTGTCTATCCATATTGCTGCTGATAAGATGATCTCACGGGTATAGTTATTCCAGTTTCAAAGCACACACATCGAGAAGTACTTAGAGACGAACAGGAAAGCGAGCGCACCCCCTCCTGACGATAGGCTCCCGCGTACCGAAAAGAGCGCACAGTGAACGGGGAACAGAGATATTTTGGGCAACACTATGTTATTGCCCAATAACTTTGAGGTTAAGCGCCGGGTACGGGTTTTAAAAATGAGCTGGGCTCAATCCGACAAAAAAGAGGGCGGTGGAGGACGCAGAAGTAAGGGCTGCCACCGATTCTGTAGTGATCCTAAAATGCGAGCCAAACTTTGGTTTTTAATAAACTTATAGGGACGCATGATCATCGGAACACAGCCAAGAATGCGTCTCGTAAGGGTTATATGCAGGTTAGGAGGAGGAAGAACACAAAATGTAGGACGGGTCGGGATTCAGATTTGTCAGGGTTTTGAAAGTAAATTAATTAGCATTGAAATCTTCAATAAAGAATTTTACGAGTTTCGCCGATGCGCCTGATTATAAAAAAAGCTATATTACCCCTGAAAAACTTTCTGTTAATTATTTTTTTTCTTATCCGTAAAATTAGAAATACACCTTTTGAAAAATGTTATGCAGAATATTTTTTCCTTACCCTACATCTTCAGTTGGTTAATTGGCTATGGCAAAAGCAAGGGTTTTGTGAATAAGGGTTTGCTTTATACGATTACGGCAAAGCCTCAAGGACTATCTGCCTAAGGGAGGGATGAACTTCTAAGGGAAACTGGCTAGTATACCCGTTACACATGGGGCGAAAACGCCCATGCAGCCAGCCCGTTCGCAGGGTTCGAACTACCAGTGTTCAGCGGCTTTACCGCTCTGCCACTGGTGGACCCTTGTGAATAAGGAATGTCTTCAAAAAGGGCTTTATAAGAGACATTTTCACTTGTATGCGTTATACATTGGTATTGGATTATGGATTATTGAATTATGGCAAAGCGCACGAGGGCTATCTGCCTAAAGGGAGGGATGCCTTCGTGGAGGACTTTCCAAGGGAACTGGCTCGTATACACGTTACACATGGGGAAAACCACGAAAACGCCCATGCAGCCAGCCCGTTCGCGGGATTCGAACCTCGGACCGAACTACCAGTGTTCAGCGCCTTTACCGCTCTGCCGCTGGTGGGCCGTTATACATTGGGAAAACAAACAGAAAACCACCCCAATGCAAGTAAATTCATTCGCTAGTATTTGAAGCCGTGATGAATTAAAAATGCCTTTGCATTTTTACTTTAAAATATTTTTGGTAGCAAAAATACACAATTCCCTCAGACCGGACGGGCCTTCACTAGAAAACCTAGATTTCTAAAAACTACCATGAGAAAAAAGTCTTTTCTTGATTTTAATGCCAAAATGCCCGTGGTACTTTACACCTGGAGTTAGGTACTTTTAATATATTGCTTTAATTTCTTGGATATACTTCAAGATGCAAAAAGGTTCTTACAGACATCACAGGCCTTGCCGATTAGAGAGGGCTTTAACAGTGCGCATATTTTTACGAATAAACTGCAATTTTAATCAGTGTGTTTAGCTCACTTATTTCGTGATCACATTCTAACCCTCGTTCCTCATTATTTGCATCACGTAATTAGAGTCACATATTTACTGCAAATTTCTATATAAACTATTAAGCAAACTGAAGGTTACGAAGTGAAAGTTGTTAATGTGAATATAGGTATGCGTGAATTTAAAACCCTTCTATCGTTTTAAACAATACATTCCTGTAAAAATCAAACAACTAAAAAGAAAAGTAAAAACTTCAATAAATAATAAACAAGAAGTAGATACAAACTGTTGAACCTATGTATAATACATATATGTAAATATCTCATGTACATATTTACAAAACATTTGTTTAGTTAACATTCAAATGACGTAGGTAACAATTTTTAAACACTTTCGACATTTTTAGCTTTCGTTTCATCTTGACATTTTTCGGTACTTACGTATTATCCCGTCGATCGGGAAACTTGCCGCCAAGCAGGGCGATTTAGAACGAATTATAGATAAAGATGACGTAGAAACACACTCATAACACTTGTGCTAACCCCAATTAATTCTTGATAAGCCCCCTTTTTTTTTACGAACAAATCTATAAATTAACTGTTATCGCCGTATTTGAAAATGCCGCTTGCATTTTGGGAGAAAAAGGTTTAAAATTTGTGATTTGCCTTCTACAGAACATTAAGCAGTACATTATTTTTAAAGTTATAGGACCCTAATATAAAAACGATATGGTACTTTATTTGAAAACGGTTAAACAATGGCAATGCATCGCAATCTCGCAGTACCAAACCCGACGTATATATTAAATATACATATATATATATATATATATATATATATATATATATATATATATATATATATACATATATATATATCCATATCCTCCTTACCCGACTTAAAATTCTTAACCGACTTTATTTTTGCAATCGTTGATTTTAGTCATATACTACCTCATCATTGCATATGCTTTTTTAAATGATGAAAGTATTTACGTTTTGGCAATGTCAAATTTAAAAAAAATAGTTAATTTTGGACAAACAACGAAGTCTAACTTTTAATGTGGTCTCACATTTCCTATACTTATATTTGGGAACATTTTGTGCTCGTTATGAAAAAATAATAAAAATCTGAATTTATATTGCGCCCAAAGAGGTGTTTTTCTTAACATTTTGTGTGTTATCTTTTTTTATTAAATATCATGTTCCTCCCCCCCCCGTACAGTGTTGCCATTGCTGGCTTTGAAATCGTTTAGTTTTTAATCGAAAACCGAAATGCTTTATAAAATATGAAATTGATAATAAAACAAATTCCAAATTGGGACTTCCGGATGCGCATATTCGAATGGAGACGTACGTTATTCAAAATTGGATGGCTCTAGGTACCGTTGTTTTATCACAAGGCGAGAAACATACATATATTTATGCAGATTTTTCATTATTTAATTTCTTTAAATATAATACAGAACTCTAATATTTGGTGGCAACAATTTAAAAAGTGATTCGCCATTTATAGCGAAACAACGCAAAATGCCAAAACGAAATTAATAGCCCTTCTGGTCGAATTGCCCTCTGGGCTTAAAATTGACATGGATACTTAATTTTCAAAATCTGAATTTTTCATGTCATTTTCAAAACTTGAGGGATCAGTTAATTAAATTTAAATAATTTGAGAAAATAAGTTTAAATGAAGTGCAGCAAAACAAAATGGACGTACAAGAAAGACATGTAATGTCCACATCATAATTTTCTTTTCGCTATCGTCAAAACAGATGATGTACTGGGTAAGGTGCTTATCGGCAGAGATAAATGTTGTTCTGGCTCATAGCCGCCTAGACGGAATAGTGGTTAATGACACCTACTATCGTACAGAAGGGCCCAGAGGCGAATTTTGGAGAACCATGTATGTTTGTACCCTCATACTGTCTGTGCGGCAAGGAGGCACTTATGCATGCGAATCGAAATCCTCTCGAGAGGTTAGTGATAGAGAAAGAAGATACGAGACGTCGGCACCTGCGGGTGCTCCGGCACACAAGCCTTGGCTATGCCTAATATGCTTACTTGGATGTGTAGATGCCGGTCTTATTTCAACTCGTACCTGTTTTAACTCGTAAATTTATTTCAGTGCCATCAACTTAATCAATATCAGATTGGATTTTTTGCAAAGGATCACCATCTTCATCATTAAAATCTGCAGTGCAGATTCAACACGGAAGGGGGGGGGTCAGTGACTAATAATTTAATTTTCTCACCCTTTTCTTATTACAATATTCATTTTAAAAGTTAGGTTTGTTCACTTCATTCTTTGGAAGCTTTTTTTTTTACTTCCTTGTACGAAGTAAAGGAAGCATTGTAATCACGAAAAATTCCGGCTACCATATTTCAACGAAAATATACATTTTGACCGCTATCGAACGCAATTTAACGATGGGTTTTGAGTGATATCTGTACTTAAGTGTAATAATAAATGATGTGCCAAATGTGATGATAAATGGAACTCTCCGCAATAACCCAGAAATATTGGATACGTGCAGGATGAAATGTGTGATCTGAAAAAAAATTATGGAATTAAAGTAACTTACCCCCAAAGGATGACACTTCAAATAATGTGAATTACGAGAAATTTATTATATCCTGACATCGTGAAATTTTAAATTAACACTAGTATAAATCAAGGAAACATATCCAGAGAGAAGACAATAGACGGCAAACTACAGCAGCAGTAAGAATCAGTTCTACCATTTTGAGTCCTAGCCTTTCGTGCACAAAATGCGTAAAGTTCCAATCTAAACAATCTCAGTTCATCTTCGTTACACAAAGTTACATGATAACAAAATTCAATTTTTATAGCGAAGGCTTTGACTTGAATTATTATTCCAGTATATTTTTGTGGAAACACAAGGCCAATTCTAGCATCAGATGCAACACGTGCACGGGAATTCCTTTCGAGAACGTCTCAAGTCGTAAAACATCATTCATTTACCGCAGAAGTCAGCATCTAGATCAATTTTAGTTGAATCTCATATCACTTACTATTATTTTTTTGACAAATGCTTCTCTTGAAATATATGGTCGTCAGAAAGGCACGAAATACAAATCGAGATCATCCCGGTGAGACGGACAGAAGCCCGCCCTACACCTTCGAGTCTAGCAGCAGAGAGACAGAAAACGTTGTAGTGTCAATCTCGCTCTGTCAGCGAGCGGTGCAGTGAACAGCTGATGTTGAATAATGTGGAGGCTTGCCTGCACAGTAAGGACAGAATAATGAACCTTTTCCGAAAACGAATTACAAAACTGATTTAAGGTAGATTCAGAAGAGATTTTTTTCATGGCGTCTGTACGTACTTAGATATGTACATGCGTACGTATATATGTATGCATCTCGCATAACTCAAAAACGAATAGCCCCAGAAAGTTGAAATTTTATATATAGGACTGCTATAACATGTAGTTGTGCACCTTACCTTTTGGTTGCAATCGGCCTCACCAAAAGTATATATATTATACCCACTCTGTTACTCGGCTCAGTGACCTCAGATTTTTTTTATTATTCTTATATTAAAATTTTCTTATTCTCATATATTATTCTTATATTTTTATGTTGGTAAATTGTGCAATTTTAGCTTAATAAATGATTGAAATATGTTGTTCTTATCTTCCGGTTAAGGATTTTATTCCTTTAGTTAACCTGCATGTTATAGTTTTAGAATTACCAAAAATTTATT